TAGAGGATGTTGAAATACATGACAACAAAACATACAAAACGTAATATCATAAAATAAGAATTCATTACTACTCCAGAAAAACTTTTAAAGACTGTTATATCATGAAATAAGAATCCATTACTTATATTACTACTCCAGGAAAAATTCTAAAGACTGCAATTGTATATGCATGTCCCTAAAACTCACCACAATACCTGTACCTGAACAAACGCTGTATCACCTCGTCCAAACCGTCTACTTTGTCTGCATCAACGACCGCGTACAATACCGAAAATAAGAATTCATTACTACATGTACTCTAGGATTGGAAAAATTTGAAAGACGGCAATAATGCATTTCCCTAAAACTCTCCACAATGCCTGTACCTGAACAAATGCAGTATTACCTTCTCCAAACTGTCTACTTTGTCTGCATTAACGACCGTGTACAATACCGAAAATAAGAATTCATTACTACAAATGTACATGTACTCCAGGAAAAATTTTAAAGACTGCAATTGTATATGCATTTCCGTAAAACCGACCACAATGCCTGTACCTGAACAAACGCAGTATTACCTCGTCCAAACCGTCTACTTTGCCTGCATCAACGACCGCGTACAATACCGGAGTCTTGACCAAACGCTGTACGTCCCTTTTTCACACAGCGAGCATTGAACACCAGCCGAGACGAGAACTAAGTCTACGGGTACTTAGCCGTACGTGCGGAGAGGTGAGATTTTCATAGGGAGCTTGGGTAAATATGCATTAGGAACTTAAGCCTCAGGCTCTCAGGTGATGGAAGAATTCAACCTCCTACCTGTAGGGGTGACCAGGAAGGCTGGGTGGAATGCAGGCTTTTAGCTAGGGGGTGTCCAGGGTGTCTTTTGGACGCCCTGTACTGAAAATAGTAAGAAATTGGACGCCCTACTTTTTGGTAGGACACCCAAAAGACTCCCTATTTTTTCCACTTCCAACCCCTGCCATGCACACATGCCTCCTTTCAGCATACAAAAATGATGGTTTACTGAAGGAAAAAACTCAAAATGCAGAAAGTTGTGTTTGAGAGAATTATGAATGTCAAAAAAGCCCCCCTAAAAAGGTCACACACTGTGCGTCTTTGCTGCGTACAATAAAAAAATGGACACCCAACAAAAAAATCCTAGCTAAAACTGGTGGAATGCTATGTACAGTATCCTTAGGCCACACCAATTAAATTTGTTGTTTCTCGGATTTTTTTTTTTTCAGAAAATATCAGGAGCGACAGGGCGAAAAAAAAAAAACAGACCAAGGCACCCCATGATAGCCGGAAATGTTACAATGAGCCATGAAGTGAACATACCAGGCTGGTTTATAATCAAAACAATAGATTTTGAACTTTTGATAAAACAAAATTACATTGTTACATTGAAAAACTTAAGAACTAGGAAGAAAGGGACTTTTTTCAACCGTTGGGGTCAAAATATGTCTTTCATTGAGCATTTTGCAGTTAATTTAGAACCAAATAAAATTTTCATTTTTTTTTGCAAATCAGAACAAAATGGACAGGGCAAGCATTTTTTAATTCTTTTCTAAAAATCATAACATAGCCTCCACCATACTAACAGGCTCAAAGACAGTAAAATTTAGCCAAATAGAGAGAATACAGTAAATCATGATTTTTTGTGGTATTTTATATTTGCAGTTCTCGCGGTCACTTCCATACGCGGCTAACAAACAATTTGCTTTCTTTCTTCTGTACCTGCCAGAACCGCAAAAATTTATCAATTCTGCAAACATGTCTATTTTTCTCAGAATGCAAAATTTTGCTATCACAAATAGAAAGTGCTGTCCACATACATTTGTATATGCTGCAGCCTCTATATAGCAAGCTCTAAATGAAGCTATAACAGACGGAAAATATAACAAAATTTGTCCCTCAAAAAGCAGGAAATACTGTCTCAGATAAGAGTTTTAAAATTTTCTGGGAGAATACTCAGTACCAGACCCCCTACTACAAAATGTATATGGTCATGTTTGAGACTTGATGCTTGGCTTGTGTGGCCTATGAAATTGTACCTGCTTAGAGAAGGTGTTCAAATGTTTGTTGTTTGGCTCCTCAGTAGAGTAAACACGTCAACACAGCGGCATTGTCACAGGTGTGCGCAGCTAAGCCTTCCACAAACAACATTCATACCAACAGGTTCTTAAAGAGTTGTCCTGTACATTGTTAACTCGGTGTTAAGTTTCTTCTGCTGACTTTCCAATGGCAAAAAGAATTGCATAAAAACAGCAGTTTTCTTTAACCTTCTCCCTGCTGCCTGAACCCATAACCAATACAAATCTGGTACCAAATGGCTTCCAAGCATGTGGAAGGTTAAATGGTTAGGCCATGTTGATTTGATTATATGGATGACATCCGCGCGCGCATGAATTTTCGGCCGTTTCCAAAAAAAAAAGTTTTCAACCATACTGTAAATCGTACAAAACAGTTGCAAAATGAGCAAAAACATACCATAAGTTACAAAAAATTAATAAAACTATACCAATGTCATAGAATGCCAAAATCAAACGAAAAAAGACGAAATTGTAAAGAAATGAACTTGAAGACTAGATTATTCGCCAAACCATATTCTGTGCCGTTTGCTCAACCCTAATGACCACGTAGATTTCATAATGAAAAGAACTTTTTTTTTGCAAAACTTTTTTTTTATTCGCACGCGCGCATCAGTTTTGGGGCTCCCGCAGGATGTCATCCATATAATTAAATCAACATGGCCTTACACATATATAATTGTTCTACCGGTATTGAATTGTTTATTATGGCAAAGGGCTGCTGAATTAGAAGACAGAAACTATTTATATCTGCATAACAGGAAAATAACTGGTGGTGGAATGTTAAACAAGATTCACAGCAAAAACAAATTGTTTCAGTTTTACTTAGGGCAAACTCTAAACGTAAGAATGAAAAACACTGTATCTAGACTTGCTTTTGACAATTATTTTAAACTATACACAGAACATAAAAAGAGTTACGGTAACTACTTTGGGAAGGTTTCAAGACCCACTCTGTCTGGAAAGACTTTTGAACTGAATTTGAGTGTTTGATTTTTTAAGAGTAAAAACAGGAACTGTGGGTCTAGTGTGATGCAAAGACTTTGCGACGAACCATGGCTAAAGTTCACACCTACCAATTTTTAGCCACAGGAAAGACATGATGAAGTTTAAATCAAGACCACATGTACCAAGGTCCTATCCTAGTGATGTCACGTTTGAACAACACACTGACCAAACAGTCGTGTATATGTTACACCTGAGAAATAAATCGTGTCATTTAAAATATTTGTGAGAATAACATTTTGAACCATAACAAGGAGATCATATTATAGAGGCAGACAGTGAGATTCAGAATGTTTGGTTATGTTCAAAAAAAATTTTATCAGACAAGATTCCTGCAGATTATGATTTTAGCAAATCTTAGTCAAGATGTATACAAGACTACATGATACAAGACTACTCGCTAATTACATTAAATTAAATCTAGTACATCCACACATTTGTAAGCTATACAATATTGGTTGAAGATACAATGTACAATAAATAGATAAATGTAGGGGAAAGCATTATATAAGACCACTACCTATAGCTTATAGTCATCTAGTAGATATCAGTGTAGGTTGGTAAATTTAGAGGCCCAAAACTTATTCATGATTCTTATTTACAGCGTTGGTTTTAGTGAAAAGCAGTTCTTTCAAAATGAATCACTGGAAAAATTTAATTATCAGTACACCTAATAACTTCTTTTTGAAGATGTCTGTTTTATTTCTTTATCTCCAAATGCCACCAATCAATAATAAATATCACAGGCCGCGCAAGGTTAGGCCACACTGATTTAATCTAATGGATGACATCCGCGCACACATTGATTTTCGCCTGTTTAAAAATAACACATCTTCCGAGGCTCTTGCCTGGGTGGCATCCTCTGTAGTCCATGGTAGCTAGTGACAATAGGGAGCCGGTGGTAACTACGGAGGATGACACTCAGGCTACCGAGGCTCCACAAAACTCAAGAACAGTGCAGATTCATAATGTCACAAAGGCCAGCATGTACTAGCCTGGGTACCATCCGGATTTTCCCTACGCAACGCTCGAAAAAAAATTTTTTCAAGCATTGCGTAGCGAAAATCCGGATGCTAAGCATGTACTGGCTTGTCGTAAAAGTCGCTATGTACATGTACTTTTGCAAATTCACAACACCAGCTTTGTATTCCTGTGGTTTATATATATTAGCAGCATTTTTTGGGCTGGAATCTTTTTCATTCACCCATGTGCACTAGTTTGGGGGTCTTCAGAGGATGTCATTCATAAAATTGAGTCAGTGTGGCCTTAGAGCACACTAATGTCAATATCAGCCAACAGCCATGAAGACATCTCTCACAACAGATGGGTTCAAGGAGGATTGGTTGCCTAGCAACATGACGACATCTCACCTGTACATCTGTCAATCAAAGCTGACTTGTTTTGAAGGAGTCATTGTTGAGTTAATCAAGTTATCACGGATCGTGACATTTTGGGAAGAATGGAGAGTTTGCGAGGGAATAAATAAGCTTCACAGGTAATCTAGCTTTGTATGAGGTTGGATTTGTGAATAGGGTTCATTAAGCAATGTCTGTGTGCTTTGCTCTCTTGTCTATTTTTATCATGGAATTGTGTTCTACATGTACGAGGTATAGGACAATCTTTAAAATGTGGTCTATAGAATCAGAAATTACATTGTACCAAACACATGTTAGGTTTTCATAATTTTCATATCTTGCAATTTGACTTGTGGAGTAAGCTTGTTTCTTTCTTGTGTGAGTTTCTGGCTTTTAGTTGTAACAGTTCTGAATTGATACAAAAAGATCTCCATAACTATAATATAGAGAGAACCCTGCTCTTGATCGAAGCACTTGACACATTATATATGTGAGCCATTTACAACTGAAAAATTACTTCTTAAATCTAAACAGAGAGTTTTGAGGTGCAGATTCAGAAATGACTAACCTTAACTCACGACCACAGGTGTGCTGTACACGTGATGTCACCTGGGAGAACCTACGGCACCTGGAGCATGTGGCTGCTGCTCACCTGAGCACCGACACCTGCGACAAATATGCCAACAAAAAGGTCACACACCTGTAATGTTGGTGTAGGATGTTTCAGTGTTTACAGCTGTAATTGTGTACAAGTTTGTTGCTGGTACAACACATGAAAACATGGTTTGGATTCAGGGCAATTCCATTGAACAAGATGGGGGGGACTGCCTAATACACTGCATAGCATTTAGATGCACTTTTTAACTGTCCTATTCCTCCTTCTATCCATCCATCCATTCATCTTCCATTCTTCCATCCATGTATTCATTCATTTGTTCATTCAGTGCTAGCAATATAGACGAATGAATGGCTGGATGGAGGGAAGGATGGATAGATGGAAGGATGGATGGATGGTTGGATGAATGGATGGATGGAAGGATAGATGAAGGGAAAGAAGGATGGATGGATGGATAGATGGATGGATGGGTGGATGGATGGATGGATGGGTGGATGGATGGAAGGATAGATGGAGGGAAGGAGGGATGGATGGATGGATGGATGAATGGAAGGATGGATGGAGGAAAAGGATGGATGGATGGATGGATGGATGGATGGATGGATGGAGGAAAAGGATGGATGGATGGATGGATGGATGGATGGATGGATGGATGGATGGAGGGAAGGATGGATGGAAGGAGGGATGGATTGATGGATGGATGGGTGGAAGAAAGGAATCATGAAAGGCAAACAGTATTAAATAATAACATTTAAGAGTACTTCTAGACCGAATGACATTAACCAAGCCAAGGTAAAAGTAAATCAATAATAAAATCTTGATCAATAAATAGTTTCATCCACATTTAGTTTTTCCTTTAACCATGAAATTCCCTTGTCACTCCATTTCACATGTATTCACGCTGATAAAAAAAACTCAATTATAAAATCAATGAAACATTCTAAATCCGATGAATTCAAAATTCAACCTTCAAGTTTGTTACAGAGTCAGGGAAACTTGAGAATTTCTTAGTCTTTGAAGTGCTCTTTCCCACACTTTGAAAGACAAATTTCAATGCAAAGCTGTGAAAATATCATAATTGTCTAAAAATAGTTAGAAGCATATATTATAAACATAAGCTGTCAATTCTGGTTGTGAAAAAATAAAACCTAATATCCTCATTATAACCATTCAAATTTGTAATAAAAAATAGGTATGTTCTTTAGAAGTTTAGAGGCAATACTGACATCTTGTCTGAAATATATTGGACCCTGTAGACATATAGCTGCATTGTGTCCAAAAAAAGGATGCCAAAACATCCTTCTAGCCACTCTAAGGCCACACCAATTTAATTTCTTGGTTAACGGATTTTTCTAGAAAAATAATGGAGCAGGTGTGCAAAAAAATAAATAAAAATAAAAACAGGCCTAGGCATCCTACTATGGCCCAAAATGGTACGATACGAGCCATGAAGTCAACACACCAGGCTGGTTCAAAATTGCAAACAATGAATGTTGAACTTTTAATGATACCACTGCATTGAAAGACGGAATAACTGCAACAACTAGGAAGAAAAGGACTGTTTTCAAAATTTATCAAAATATGAGCATTTTGCAGTTGATTCTGAATTTTTATTCTTTTTTACAAACCAGAAAAAAATGAAGCGGGTGGATCCGTTAACCAAGAAATTAAATTGATGCGGCCTACCATTCATCTCATTTCTAACCACAGTTGACATTCATAGCTATTTATCATGAATTTTGTATGACGGGCAACATTGGCTTTGTACGAGTGATTTATGGATGGTCTCACAGATAAGGTACTCCATGGTCAAGGCCATTGTGCCCTGAATCAATGGGAAAGTAAAACGTTCTTCATTGCGGCAGGACGGGACATGTATCTTTGTCACTAGGGCTAGATACAGGGTCGGGGAACAAATGGTTACCTCAGGCAAGGAGGTCTGCACTGATTTCTGGAAAGGATAAGGCCACACCAATTTAATTTGTTGTTTCTCGGATTAGCCCTGTCCATTTTTTTCTGATTTGCAAAAAAAAAGAAAAATTTGTAGGTTCTATAAATCAACTGCAAAATGCTCAATGAAAGACATATTTTGGCCCCAACAGTTGAAGAAAGTCCTTTTCTTCCTCGTTGTTAAAGTTTTTCAATGTAACAGTGAAACTTTGTTTAATTAAAAGTTCAAAATTTATTGTTTTCATTATAAACCAGCCTGGTATGTTCACCTCATGGCTCATATTGTAACATTTCCGGCTATCTGATCATGGGGTGCCTTGGCCTGTTTCTTTTTTTTTTTTGTATTGTCGCTTCATATTATTTCTGAAAAAATCTGAGAAGCAACAAATTAAATTGGTGCGGCCTAACATAAAAATTGAGAGAATACATCATAATATACATGGATTTTAATGATTATTACCATCTTATAGCCTGATTTAATCACATTTCTAAGCACAGCCTGTTCATCGGCTACGACTCTGAAAGCCAGAGATTATTTAATAATTTAAACAAATTATGACACTTGTTGACATCATTTAAAACTTATGAGTTGATTTTATCTTTAAAATCTACAGTCTGTAGTATAGTGTAAAACTGTGCTAACATTAGTGAAAAATTGTTTTACTTTTCTCAAAATATTACATTCTCTCAAGTCTTTGTCTTAAAATATAGGAATTGACAACCTATTTGCATATTTTGAAATTTTAGTTAAAATACACTATTATGATACTTAAATAGCCAGCCACAAACCTTTAAATATACTTTCCATCAATATTACCTAGTACAACAGTTAAGGTTTTAAGAGAAAAAAAAAACATTGAAAAAGATTATCGGAGGGTGACAGAGAATAAATACTTCCTTTTAGAAGTGCATTGGGTCATCAGGATAGTCTTTATTCCCAGAGAAAACGTTCCCAAGACATTTGACCTTCAAGGACAATTCCTCATGTTTGAAGGTCGTGCCAATGGCAGACACCTCCTGCTGGTTAGGCTCCTCCTATGTGTGGCCAGGTCTAAGGTTACAGGCGAAAACCGGCAAGGTGGTGGGTTATGGAATTACGAAAGGATAATCTTTTTAAAGTGTTATATCTGACAAACTAAATAAAGGATTTGCAGATGACATCCAATACCAAATCCCTTTTCAGTGGTGGGGGAATTGCTTTTTCAGCAAAGTTCTTTTATGTGAGCAAAATGACTATTTTTCAGACGTAGAAACCAGCACCTAAAGTACATGTAAACCTAAGAAAAAAGAAGAAATTGCCATGTCGCATTATCCCAAAAATTGATGTGTTAAAAAATTTGTTTTTCACAAATTTATCTAGTATGGAACTCTGTTGTCATGAAATACAGTAGGAGCTTACATGTTCAACAGATACATTCATTGTATATCTAAGCTTCAAATGGCAGTTAGATATGAATAGCTTTAGACATGACAAGCTGTTTGGTATGAGATACCTATGCGCTAGCCGCCACTGTTTGCCTGTGAATTACAGGTGTGATTATATGCTGAAGTGCTACCAATTGACCACTTCAAAATTCAGCTGACCAATACATTCAGCTACATGTTGTTTCCCCAACATTGTATTTCACTGCACAATCAGCAACTTAAACTATTCTAGTTTTCTTACATATATAATATCAAAAGACAAAACACTTACAATATAGCATTATACAAACACATGCACAAAAGTATCAAAATATCAGCTACAACAACTTTTCCCTTACCTGTCATATAGCAGAGCAAATACACTGTTAGTACAGGTTGCTATATTCTGCATGTGTATTGTACGTACACCAACCAGGTTTGAATACAAAGAAATGGTCTGACCAGGTGAGCCCAACTCCCCAAGGACACGTAATTATTACCTGAGAATGCCTCTCCTAGACCGGTTGGACAATTCTATCAACTGTTGAGTCTGTAATTACCTTTCAGAAGATCTTTAGAGTCAAGACGTTTATGTGACTTCATGTTCTGATGTCATAGTTCTTACGTCAATACCAGTAGCCAAGTAACGTTATACCAACAGTAATGTACAGTACATTGTACTGTAAAACACTTTATGTTTTCTGTAGCAAAAGTTCGTGGCCTGAGAAAAATGGACATGTTTGTGGAACTATACGTTTGCGGTGGCGGCAGGTGCAAGAAAAAGAAAGCAACTTTTTTTTTGTTCAAGGTAACGGTAAGTTTGCTGTACAGAAGTGACCACGAAAACCGTGAAAATAAAAGTACCACAAAAAAATTATGATTTACAGTATATACACACACACATGCTTCCATTTTTTGCAGTTTAACTTTAGAAAATATCAAAACATGACTGCATAAACAAAGGCACAGAGGCTGAATGAATCCACGATCAAAGAAGACACTTTATAATTCCTTACTTTCACAGTGATTATTCTTGCAGACATATAATAAGTATGATGTATTGCTGGTACCAATACATGTGTATGTAATTAACCTGAATTTCAATACAGTCAAATGGTTAACCGCATAGTTTGAGTGCAATTTCAACTCAATGAAGTCTGTAATTTGCTTGCAAAAAGGACAGATAACGACCTTTTCAAAGGTTAGCAAAGACGTAGTCAAGAAAGATCAACCTATCATAATGAGTTCATCCAGGCTGGTAATTGGGGTGTAATTAGGGGGGTCCATTGAGGTCAGTCGTGACGCATGATACAGATGCTGCAAGACGTAAGTTGACACCTCATCTCCATGTTTCATCTGGTTTTACACCAGGTTAACTGCCAGAGGGCACCTTACTTACAGTTCTTGCCATTTCTTACTAGGCCACACCAATTTAATTTGTTGGTTCTTGGATTGGCCTCTTTTTTTGGCATTTTTTTCTGATTTCAAAAAAAAAATGGTTCTGAATCAACTAAAAAACGGCTAATATTTTTCCCCCAACAGTTGACGAAACTCCTTTTCTTCCTAGTTGTTGCAATTTTCAATCATCTATCAATACAGTGGTTTGATTAAAAGTTCAAAATTCATTGTTTAAACATTAACCCAGCCTTTTGTATTGACTTCATAACTTATATCATAGCATTTGGGGCTATAATAC